CAGGCATTTACATGCCCGTGTACCTGTAGCAAGATCCATTTTTAGAAGTATTGTTCAATGATGCCTTCAATCTCTACACAAATATAATTCGGATGCAAGATGAATTTAATACGTAACAAACACTTGAACAAATCGTTAAATATTATATTGAGGTGGCTCAGATTATGAAAGAAATCCATAAAAATACACAATCATGTGCAATTACACTTTCATTTATGGGGTTCAGTAGCTTTTATATCCGTTGTCTCAAAAGGTTTGGTGCCCTCAGCAATTTTTGATCAAGTGAAAACCTTAAAACATTAACCAATTTTTGATAGAACCCACAAGCCAGCCACAACCTAATAAACAAAATTGAATTTCTTCATTTTCGATATATCATATCAAATAGTAATAGAAGCGAAGTAGAAATAGAGTTGGCAAAATTCTTATCCATCCACGACAAGAACTGAACGGAAAGAAGCAGAACAATTTGGCTTTATTATAATGGGCAATTGCTAGATTTTCTTTTGCAAACAATAAATTAATGGACATAAATTGATTCACGACATTAGGCATGCTTTATCCATTTTTAATCTGGATTATTTTCCAACAAAATACAAGAAATTGTCCTTTAGACCGCAACAATAAAACATGAGATTTGTTTTCATATGCCATTTGTACAATAATACAAGAAAATCAGAGTATGCATTAGACATGAAGCAGATATTAGAAGCTGCAAGGCATAGTATGTTGAATAGCATAACTTGCGACATTCACCTATGATATTAGAAGCTGTAAGGCATAGTATGTTTTCATATGCCATTTGTACATTATAACTTACGACCAGTGACGGACCCAGCGTTGGAGTTCAACCCAGACGGACGTTGACCGGTCAACGTCGACAATGGCAACTTCCATATGATCTTTACAGTGTGAAAACACTCATAGAAATCTTAACAACCAGTTTACAGGACCTATCAACAATAGCATTGCTCCTCTTAAGTCTTAGCATTATAGAGCTCCATGAGAATAAATTGATTGGTGAGGTTCCTAAAGATATTGGGTTGCTGTCAAATTTGAACCAACTGATTCTTCACACACCAACAGCCTGAGTGGTTCTGTGCTTCCATCATTGATGAATTGCACCAGCCTGAAAACACTGCTTTTACGAAATAATTATTTAGGAGGAGAAATTGCGAGTCTTGATTTTTCCCCACTTAAAAAACTGGAAGCAATTGATTTTGGGAACAATAGCTTTGTGAGAAACATTCCAGTTAGCCTGTGCTTGTGTAGATCCCT